ATCTCCCCTATTTCATTTTGGCACTACTTATCATTTTTTTTTGCTGTCCAGTTCTCATATGCTACCTCTATGTCGTCATTTGTGATTTTATAATTTGAATTCTTGATCGTCGCAAAAATGCATATAATAAGGTTTTATCGGTTGGAAGGAGTTTAACGGATTTCTGAGAGATTTTTCACTAATAACAGTTTCATAGTTTTAAGTTGTTTTTTCTCCTGCATACGCCCAGAGAGATGTTAGCCATATAGATTATTTATTTTATTTTTTTAAAGTTTTAAATTTTAAATTTTTTCTTTTTCAGCGAAATGGAACCATCGAATCAAATTCGTGAAACAAAAGATGAAAATGTTCAGCTCAATAGTTCGTAATTTTTCAATTTTTCTTTATTTATATACTTAATTTTTTTCTAATATTTAGAAATATTTAGGAATCTTAGTTTTTTTAAACAAATCTAATAATTATGTAACAAATCAAATGATAAAAAAATTACTATTTAAAAAATTATCATTCCTTTATCATATATTTTTTATCATCAAGTATAAATAACAGTAAGTGCTATAATTGCTGAAGTATAGCGTTTTGCATCTGTTATAAGTAATAATTAATATGATTTTTCTTTTATTTTTTATACATTTCAAATTTTATTTTTTGTACATTTCAAATATTTTAATATTTAATAAACAATATTTAATAAACAATATTTTCTTTAGATAGATTTTATTCATGTGATACTGAAATTTTAAAAGATATAACATTTATTCGAATTCTTATCGATTCAATCAATATGGATAAAGAAGATGAATATGTGATGGAACTTATACGAAAGAAATGCCTCTTCGGGTAATAATTCTTATTTCTAATATTAAAAAATAATTAAATTTTTAACTTTTTTATATTATTACTTAGTTGTTTTGATTTATTCCTTCAAGAAAAATTACAAATTTACGATGTAAAAATCTTTTTTTTATTCTTTTTCTGTTTTTGCAGTTTCGTATTGGAGTATCAATTTCCATCACTTGATATAGTTTCAACTGCATTAAAATCTCGAATAAGAATTAATGCGAAAACATTTGATGGAAGAAAAATAATTTTTCGGCATAGACGGGTTGTTCGAGTAAAATTAGTGCCCGAAATTATTAATTATTGGAGAAATAATTCGTTTAAACTCATATTATTCGCTCAGTTAAATACTCTTGGAAAATACACGGTCTAAATTTCGAAATTTTGCTTTTTTTTATGTACTCAATCATTATTAATCATTCACAATTATCATTATCTAAAAATTCAATGAATTTGGAAAATATGACTTAAATTTTCTATTTCAAATTTTTTTTTGCATAAATTTTAAATCAAATTTTCAGACGAAACTGATGGGACGTTGTGAAATTAACCTAGAAGATCTTTTAAAGCCTCCTTTTTTAATTTCGCAAAATTATATTTTCAGTGGGCCTGGGTTCTCGGCTTCTTCACATGTTCGTTTTTTGTTTCATTAAATCTGTTATTTTTTATATTCAAAACTTATTGCGTGAAAATTATGCAAATTTTTTCAACAAGAATTTTCAGATCAAAATAGATGTTGGTTCGAATATTAAAGCTGTTATGGAATATCTTGAAATAATGCGAAGCAAGAATGGTCATCGTGATGATGCACTCACACGCGAAACTTTTAGATCTAGATCTCCATCACTGAGCACTGCCAGGTCAAGTAGTAGAAGTGGATCTGGCAGAGGTAATTTTTTTATTCTTTTGAATATGATTTATTTTGTCGAGAAGGTTAATCCTTAATTCTTTATACATATATATGTTTATGTGCATTTAAGCATCTTTAATTTCTTAAAATTATCAAATCAAAAATACCAAAGTATCAAATTGAAAATCGCAGTTTATTTTATTTTTTATTTTTTTATTTTTATTTTTTATATATTTTTGTTTATTTATTTCATATTTTTATTTATTTTTATTTTTTAAGGAAGGCATTCACCAATTGTTCCTTCAAAGCTTATGTTACGATCATCAAGTTCCTCTCGTGAAACTTCTCCTCATTTGAAAAATGAAAATATTACACTGGAACCAGGATCTCCTTCATCTTCTTATAGGATTAAACTTACAGTTCATTCCGCTCGACGTTTGCCAATTGATTTCAATGCCAGGTTCAGCCATTCATAATATAATGTAATTTGTATAAGAGCTCAATTTCAAAATGAAAAGAAAAGAAAAAATCTTCAAATTTCATTTAAATTCCAGAGGTGAAAGTTGTTCTCCGTCAACTTATGTAACATTTACTGGAGAAGATGGGCAAATACTTAGTTCACCTGTACGAGCTGAAACTTTGTATCCTGAATGGGAATGGACAGAAATATTTCATGTGATTTTCATTTTTGTTAATTATGATTTTCCTAAAAATGAATGTCTTCAGAAAATTATACTGAAGCATTATTCATGCATAATTTCGCTTTTATTTTTACAAATATAGCTTTTTTAAAATTAAATTGAATTTTATCATTCAGGTTCCAAGAAGTCGTCAAAATCTTGTTATTAAATTATGGCGCAAATGTATAACTGGACGGGATAGAGTGATTGGTTTTATATCAGTTGCACTGCCACCACAAACAGCCATAAGAAACGAGTATGAAATGTCTGATATGTTTATTTCCGAAAAAGCACCTTTAATAACGGTATTTCAACATTATATATATAACAAAGTTTTTAAATCATTTCATTTAAATCATTTAAATCATTTTGTCCACTTATGAATTTAAATAAACTGAATTATCATTTGTCTTATTCTATTGTTTATTTTCAAACATCCTATGAATTTTTCGTACGAATTTTAGATATCCATTTCAACATATGGCAATGCATATTTCGAGAAAAAAGAAACCCCGATTTTAGTTCCATCGCCACCAATTACGAGTCCTAGACTTCAAGCAATGAGTCGAGAAGAAGTTTCGGAAAAATTAAGGTCCTTTCTAGTTTTTTAATCAATAATTCCACTTGTAATTCTGTAGTTTTTTTTGGAAAAAACGTCTTTTTAAGCTTTCATTGCAATATTGGACAATATTGGATTTATATAATTTCGATTTAACTTTAAATCCTTTAATATTTTATTTAATATTAAAGTTAATAATAACAATTTATAATAATTATAATGATAATTTTAATATACACATATACACGTAAAATGTAGAGAAAGCGTCAGTTTCAGGGAAAATATGTTTGAATTGGAGAAAATGTTATCAAAATTGGGTTATCGTTAAGGCCATTCCTCTAAGGTCTCTTTATGATGTGCTCGGATGTGCTCTTTTAATAATAAACGCAGTGTACTGATTCAGATCTTAGCCTGAAGGATAATTAATATTAAATTTCGTTTTACAAAATTCTTCATTTCTTTAAAGACTTTTCAGCCGGTTTTAGCTTGTTTCATTTAATAAAATGTAAACGTTTTATGAAAATTTATTTTATTCTAATGTTGTTTATTTGTTTATTTCATCTTATTCAGTTATATTAAAATATTCATCTATTATTATATTAAAGTACATGAATTTTTTATATGATTTTAAATACTTTGATTCAATTTTTAATTCCCGTATTGGAACTTGTATTTCTAATTTATGGTTAACATAGATTAAATTAAACGAATATTTTGGCGATAATCTGGTGAAGTATTGCTTTGACTAAGGTTAAGAATTCTCTGCCTAAATGACCCTCTTAGTAAAAAATAATTGTCTTGATAATCTAAAACTTCAGCCTTGATAATCTAAAACTTAATATTTAAGATAGCAAAAAATTTGCAAAAAATCTAATAATGAACCTAACCGCATGCAAAAAAGAATTAAAAAAACGAAAAATCTCATCGAGGAAATTTTCAACTGTATTAATGATGATAAATTTTTATAGTTCCGTGCAAAACAATTGATAAAAAAATCTCACTATAAAATTTCGAAAATATTGAAACAATCATTCCATAATCTATTTAATATTAATGATAATCTAAAACTTAATTTTACAAAAGTTTTTGAAAAAATTTAAGGACAATAGAATAAGGAATTATTAAACAAAACGAATTTTCACATTCATTCTAATCTTTTCACTAATTTTTAAAATTACCTAACTATCAACTAATTCATCTAGATCGCGGTGATTATTTCCGGAATTGAGGCTGAAAGTAGTAGATGATCTACTATTCTCACTCGATGTATCGGATTTACCATCAGCGATAACAGATGGAGTCGGATCCTTTGGAACACTTTTCAAGCATTCTGTTTTGCTCGGCCGTTTCCGTTTGTGCTTTTTTTTTAACGGTTTAAATGCTTCCAAATTTTCATCACTAGATTCCGAGGTAATTAGTGAGGGAAATTTTAATCCTCGAACGAAATCGTGTTCATCTTCTGCAAATGTATATTTATAAAACTACAGTACAATACATCTCAAAGATAATAAGATAATATTTCATATTAGTGAAGTCAACCTGTAACTGATATTGATGACCGACTTTCCACTGATTGTTTCTCAGACAGATTTTCTGTTTCCGAAATGTTATCTTCTCTTATAGGCAAAAGTTCTGCTAATTCTGTGTCAGTATCATCTAAAATATTGTCATAATAAGTCAAAAATAAAAAATTAAACGATTAAAAATGAAATTCAGCAAAATAAACAAAAATGATTTAATGAAAATTTTTATCTTATTATGGCGATAAAAGAGCACCACAGAAGGGCGATTTCTCAGGAATACTGTCCACAATTATCTTGCAAACAGGTCCCAATACATAGATTAGTAGGCAATCCTCGCATTTTTTATATTTGGTATAGAAATAATTACAACATGGCTGGATAATTATTGCATGAAAAATTAAACCGACCTGAAAAAAATTAAATATGAAATACTGGAATTGAAATTTTTTAAGAGAAAGAATACGGTTGAATACCCACATTTACCGGACAAACAATGAATCTACAATAAAAATAGCTGAAAAAAATGAACATACTGCTTTCAGAAATTCAAATAGTATTACGCAAAAAGGCCATAATATACTATCGCGCACAATTAAACCAAGCTGATGCAAAACACGACGAATTGCAATCAGTGCTTGACTCAGCAAATATTTCATATACCTGTAAATTTTAAATTAATTTAGAAGTTTGCCTTCAATGCGATATTTTCAAAAAAAAAAAAGTTTTTGGCAAATTTCTTTCACAGTATTTCATTATACAATATTCTAGAAAAAAACCCAATAATAACCTGACAATTGGAGCAATACATGTTCGAAAAATAAATTTGCGAAACCGTTGTAAATATCTGATAATAAGTTTGAACAATGGAGTCACCCAATAACCACAAAAGATATAAACAGTTGCAAAGCAAATATAATTGAATAAACGTTTCACTGGTCGACCAATATGATCGACTAAATATGCTTTTAAGCCAGGCCACCAGTGTCCACATAAATAATAACGTAAAAATTGAAAAATACTTAGAAGTGCATTTCGAATGGGTCGTATAAATTTATCACAAATCCAGTCACGAACTTGCGCTAATTTTCCAAAAATCCACTCTTTACATGAGCGTAATTTATGGATTATATAATTTTTAATACTGATAGCAATGCAAATAATAAATTGTTTGAGATGAATTAAAGCATTTTTCACTTTACATTTAATTAAGATGCATAAATTTTTAATCGATAAAATAAAATTTTTCCAAATATTCGATAAAAAATCCCCGGTTTTTCGTATAATGTTTTGGATAAAACTGAATAATACTGAAATCAATTAAAATAACAAATTGTTATCGTTGAGATGAATTTATATGAATATGAATACATGTGAATAAAATTATTAAATTATTTTAACATAAATGAAAAACAAAAAAATTATAAAAATTACAAAAAATTGAAAAAAATAAAATTTGTAGAAAAATTTTTAGAGGAAGAAGAAACTTAAATTTACTTATAAGAACCAGTCAAGACGAATATATATCTAATGCTAAAAATAAAGAAATTATGAGACAGTTGACATTCTGAGACGGCCTTACGAATGTGTTTCTGCTTCTATATCTTTAGTATCCTATGTCTTTAGTCCTTTAGCTTAATTTGCCGGCAAATTTAAAGAGAGATTTTAGATTGAAGAACCAAGTAGCACCTTATTATAGCCATTATAAAAAAAATTCGTGCTACAGACGAGCATAACTACCTTCAAATTTTAGCACAACCTCTGATACTATCTCTAAGCCCGTTATATTCTCTGAACATTTTTTGTGATTCTAGTTCAATATTCTATAATCCCATTATTCTCTTTTTATAGCTTAAGCCAATGTGACGCCACCTTTTTTCAATTCAACAATACAATTGGTAACTGTGATTATGGTAAGAGTGAGGTAAAAGTTACAGCAGTATTTTAAGAGGATTCTAGGGAATAAGAAGATTGAAGCACAGGATGATATTTAATAGACTGGGCTAAAAAATTGCATAAGTATAGTGCAAATTAATAAGATGAAATTTAAAAATATTGAGAAATTGAAATAGCCTTGCCAATATAATATTTTAAAGAAGTCCACCCGAAGTTCTTATCACTCTGAAAACTTTTTATTCCTAAGAGCATTACTGGGTACCACAGGAATAATATATTATCACTTGAAAAAAGTTGTAGCCGCAGAAGAACTTCACGTTTAATTTTAGAAAATTTAAAAAAATGAGTGCAAATAGTGCAAATTAGTAAATTAAAAAAAATATGGTCTCTGTTTAACCCAAACTATTTGGCCAATGAAGTATGAACAACACGTAATCTAATCTTGCTATTTACTATCTAAATTTACTATTTTTATTTTTTTCATTTATTATTGCATTTATTACAAATCCCTTTATATAATCCCTTATCTGCTGTGTTTATTTCTAGCAAATTAATAAAATTACCTGGAAGCCATTTAAGAAGAAAAATATAACTGGCAGTATTATAAATAGCTATGGAAGGCAGAATGATGAAGCGATGCCCAAAATTTTTCAACGTGACACATAGTTTATACAAAATATTACCTATTTTCCGATTGAATTGCTGATAGCGCCACATAGGATTGACCAATATACACACAACTGAATAAAATATATCATACTTTATAATTTTACAAATGGAAATAGATTTTAACAAATGGAAAATGGAAATAGGAATTCGTGGTGAGAATTTATAGTTAGAAAAATTATGCGCAGCAAAGAAACCCATGCAAAAATGACAAAATGCCACTTCAAAAATATTTCAGACAAATAATTGTGGAATTGTATAGTTGCTTTTTATATAAATAAATATATGTAAAATTATTACCACTACCATACGCTAACCAACAGGCTTTCTCTGTGTCCACTTTCAATGAATATGCACTTAGAAAAGCAAGTGTAACACCCAAAGCCTGAAAAAGTTGATTGCCAATGCTAAATAGAATTTTGGATAACACGTCTGAATTTTAAAATTTGCAAAAAAAAATTTGATTTTTCCATTATGCTTTTTTTATCAATTTTATTTTATTTTTATATTAATCTTTATGATATTTTGCGTGATAATTAAATTCATTTTTTTTTAAAGCGTCCGAAAGAACGATTTCCTCTATTTCTAAATCTATAAACTCTAATTTAGCTGGCATCATTGACTCATTTTCATTAATTAAGGATAGCAATAGGTACATCCGCTACCACTTCACTCGAATCTCACTTTTAATGGTAAATTTACACCACTAAATGTGAGCAATCCAAGCCCATGGTGCTTGATTTCAGATGAAACAATATGCCAACCGATCTCTTATTCCCAAGTTAACTAGCTATTCTCTTTGTTTCTGGTGAAAAAGAAGTTTAATGAAATAACTAAAACTCATTCCCAAGTTAACTAGCTATTCTCTTTGTTTCTGGTGAAAAAGAAGTTTAATGAAATAACTAAAACTCTTATTTTTTACCCCATTTTTCTTCATTTTTTTTCTTTAAAATTTTACCTGAATGAAAAAATTTAAAAAATTTATAAATGTGTTCTTCTAAACGTCAGACTAAAATGCTGTGAAAATATTATATATTTTGTGAAAAAAATTTAAAGAATATTACTCGGAAGAAATTCTGAATTGGCCACAATAAAATATGAATTATAATAGAATGTTCATAACTAGGATATAGTAAAATATCCCAACTGAAAATACCGACAGCAAGCGATAATAAAACTCGAAACTGAATTTCTCGCTCCAAATAGAATGCGCTTAACCTAAATTATAATGTTAATACTGCATACATAAATAAGTTTAAATAATAAATAAATAAATAATAAAAGAATAAAAGATATAAACTGAATGTATACTTTTGCAAAGTTTTATATACCTCTTATTTCTTTTTTCTTCACAATAAAGAATTTACTTGATCGGAAACCTTTTTTAAAATGACCTATTAACGACCTATTAACTTCATTCTTCCAGGTTTTCCAATCTATATAGAAATGAAAAAGAAACTTCTCTAATCTGCATTTTGAAAAAAGTTTCATTTCATTTAATAAGACCTGTCAGGCGAATGGACATCGTTCATTATTTTTGCTAAGCGAGCTCACCATTGCTGGTTAGTCTCGTTCTACTGGTCTGTCGAACCAGGCAATTTTGCCGGAGAATCATTTAGCAACAGCTGAATCGCCAGCACCACCACAATTTCTGAAGAATAGCTTTACAGCTTTATTCCTGCCGGATATAGAACTTCAGCAGAGTTGCTTCAAATTGAGCAAACTCACTAAAATTCTACCTCCTCTTGCTTTCGTCGTCAACGATATTTCTGGCCTGACGAATCGCAGTGAGCCGGATTAGAACTCGAACCATTCTCGATTCTCCACGGCAATCTTTTTACCGCTAATTTACCGACTGATACCTTTTACAACAACTGAAAATATCAAATACCGTATCATATGTCACAAATGGACAAATGGTTATTCATGAATCTATGCCAAAAGTAGCATCGGCAATACTGCAGATTTCTCACTCCCAAGTATAAACTGTACTCGACATTGATTAACTAATTTGAATTCTATAAAACTAACCAAAAAATAGTATTAATGAACATTAAATATGGTGCACTCGCAGATGATCGACATTCGACAACAGCAAAACAACTTTCTTGAACTTTTTCGTAATATCGTTTAATTACATCCATCACAGCCAAATCACCTTACAAAGCATTGCCATTATTCCCTACCAAAATACGAAAGAAACAATATTTCTCTATGGAACCACAACTAATTTATAAGCAAGAAAACTCCTTTAAATTCCTTTGGGCCAAAAATATTCTTTGCTAAATATTCATATTAAACTTTCAAATCCTTCCTTAAATAACCAATCATAAAAAATTGCAGCCACTTCAGCTAATGCCAAAACTGAAATAAGCTTATGATAAAAAACTATAAAAAACTGATAGATAAAGCATGGACGATTATTTGCAAACGATGATAAAATGACAAAATGCAATATCTGACCACAATAAAAGAATTCCTACTTTTTGAGACATTTTAAATAATGGAATATTCATTATTCATATCTGACAATTCAACAATAATATTTTAGGTTCCTTACAAAATAAAGAAATTTTTATTTTTTTACCACATTATAACATCAAAAATACAAAAAACTAAACAAACTGATAAAAAACAATAAAAAAGATTAAAAAAATTAAAACAATAAATTAAATTAAAAATTATGGGAAAATAAAAAAATAGTTGAAACCAAACTTAAGTAAAAGAATCCAACAACAGCAAAACCATCTTATGAATAATAGTGTAGAATAATTATGAATAATAGCTGGTGGTTAAAACCATCTTTTTTATTTAAAGATATAAAAATTTTAAGATTTAATACAGAATGGAAATTTACATATTTCTCAACTGATTCAAACTTTTTAAAAGTTTTTGAGATAACTTATCAATTTTTCTGTGATAAAATTTTGAGAATATTAAGGATCATTGAATGTATTTTTTTAGATTAATTTTCGGAATGATATTCATTGACTGCAATTCCTGGAACAATAATTTACAAGCATAAGGAATCTTGATGGTTGCAAGGTTTCGAGAAGAACGACACATCTGACACCATGCTTTTGAACCAATCAGACCGCATTTTGCACAAACATCGACCTGAAACCAAAATAAATAGAAACTCAGTAAAAACTAGAAGGTTGGCTTTATTTATTTAAAAAAGCAGTTCATAGCAGCCATATGCTTGCTTTAAAAACCATAAACAATGAAAGAATCAATATTAGGAGAATCAATACAAAGGCGAATGGACGAACGTTTTATAAATAAAATTTAAAATTTAAAATTTCACTTTTCATGAACTACCAGATTAAGATCTTAATAAAAGTTGAAAAACGCAAAAATCGTTTAAAAAATCTAATAAATATATAAGAAAAAAGGATCTACAAAAGATGTACTAAAAAATTTTGGTTTGAATACCTTAAATTCATCCGAGGAGACCATCAATCTCTCTATCAGCAACATACTTGCACCATAAGCAATTAAACAATCTCTTTCCATTTCACCTAACCTCAAACCTCCATCATGTGCTCGTCCCTCTGTTGGTTGTCTTGTAAGAATAGCTCTATAAATAAATATTAGCAATAGTTGCAAATTAATTTTAAAAATCTACAATTTCAAACTCCATTTAAAAATTTGGCTAACCGAGGACCACGGGCTCTTGAATGCATTTTATCTAGCACCATATGTTTCAATTTCTGGTAGTAAATTGGACCAAAATAAATATATGCAGAAAGTGGTTGCCCGGTTATGCCTGATGTTAACATGTCTTTTCCCAAATAGTTGAATCCTCGAGCTGCTAATTCTTCACAAACGTCGGCAACCTGTTGATAAAATATTAAGAAAACAAAATGCTTCAGCTTGCCATTAATTTTTAAAAAATAAAATACCATAAATTGAACAAAGATTTAAAAAAGATTTAAAAAAACAGTGAGAAAAGTACATACTTTATCCCCACCAAAAGCCGTCCCATAATGAAACTTTCCGGTCAAAATTGCATTTTTTCCGCTTAACAACTCCATCAATTTACCTACAGTCATACGGCTGGGATAACCATGCGGATTCATTATTAAATCAGGGCATATTCCAAGATCATTAAACGGCATATCTTCCTGTAAAACTAATATCTTAATAACTGATAATTCGAAAGATGAAATAGCAGAAAGTTGCTTTAAGGATTTAATTCGCAAGCAGAAAAGACTTAAAGTTAAAAAATAATGATGAATTTTAATAAAAATCCAACCTGCTGTGCGATAAGCCCACAAACTCCTTTCTGCCCATGGCGGCTACTAAATTTATCACCCAACTCTGGTCTTCTATAATTCTATGAACTTGTCTTTTAGACACAAAAAAACGTAAATTTTATTGGAAAAGAATAAGAATATAAAAAGTATTTTTAAAAAATAGTCAGAAAATTTTATAAGGGACACATAAAAATAAAAAAATTGGGAAAATACCTAGTTTGCCTCAAAAGTACTTTGATCAAATGGGCATCATCATCATTATATGTTAAAAGTACACGCTCAGCGTAATATGGTAATGGCTGGCGAAGAACTACGGAAACATCTCGATATTCAACATTTCGAGGATTTATTACCTCATTTTCACCCTCGTTATGAACGACAGGCATATGCTTATTGATCATAACCTGGAAATCGATTTCACAATAATAAACCATATTCAAAAAAAAGAAATGATCCTAATTTTTCCACAAAAAGATTCAACAGAAAATAGCCACTAGAGAAAAGACAATCTTTGTTTTTTTTTTTTCTGATAGCGCTCATTGTCGCTGGCTTGTTGGATGAGATGAATTTTGCATGTGGCGAAGTTTAGATGTGTTGCCAGCATCACTCAGATTTTTGAGGAAAAGATTTACTTTTTCTAACCACAGAACTTAAGTATCCCATTCTTTCTTTCTTTTGCTTTCGGCGAAAAAGCTACCATATATTAAGCCAGAATCGAACCCGAACCATTTTTACTTTAAAATTATTTTTTTGAATTTTAACTTTTTAGAAAACCAATAAAAGATGAAAATTAATTTTTATAATTTTTTTAAAAAAATTTCCTTGGTCATTTAATATCTAATCGTAACTTATTAGATATTGCTTTTTTAATTTATGGAAGATAAGCACATATATTATCTAAGTTTATAGTTTTAAGCCAAAAAGAAGTTTCCCTTAAGTAAATCAACCCAACCTGCTTAGGCATAATGCGTGCACCAACATAGACAATTCCTTCTTGATCAAGGACTCTGTGTTTAAAGATAGGCTGTCGAGTTGTAGCATCTAATGTAGGGCCCATTAGGCGATCAAATGTTTGATTGGGATATTTTCTGGCGGTAGCTACTGCATTTCTATAGACCAAACATCGACCATAGCCTGAATAAACAATTTTCAACGAATAAGAATTAAAACAAAGATGAAAGTAAAGAAAGTAAAGTTTTTTTGACCATCTTATAAGACGAATTTTTAGATCAATTTTAAAACGACTAAACAATTTTTAAACAATTTCTAAATGGTGATCTTCTGAATTTGTAACTTCTATATAATTTGAATTCATGAAAAAAACAAGCCTCTATCAAGCGAAGCTTTATTTAATACGAGGGCATCCTCAATATCATAACCACTGTAGGACATTACAGCTATAATTGCATTTTGTCCTGCTGGGAGTTTTTCTAAGTTACAAAATTCAATGGTCTGCAAATAAAAAAAGATGAAAGACGCTAAAAAATACTTTCGTGAGATGAAAATTTAGAATTTTTAAGGAAAAAAAATATTTAAGTTTTTAAGAAAATAGAAAAATTTTTAAGAAAAAGGATTTCAACTTAAACTTAAAAATATATACCTTAGTCTTCACAAGCGGTCGTTGCGGATAAACTAGTAAATACATGAGTGATTCAATTCGCTTTTGTTGGTTGTAACCGATTGAACCCATTGCTTGCTTGCCCATAGCACATTGGTAAGTATTTCGTGGACTTTGATTGTGATGAGGGTAAGGTATTAAACCAGCACAGACACCCAATAATGTGAATGGTTCAATCTGAATGAATATTCATGAAATGTAGTAGTTGACATATACTTAAAGTCCAGAATGGAAAATTTGAATTTGAATACAAAAAATAGGGCATATATTGAATATAAAAAAACTTACTTTAAGTAAAAATAATTAAATTGGCTTAATAATTAAATTATTAAGAAAATTACAAAAATTAAAAGGAAACTTTTGAAACGAAAACCTCTAAATGAGTTGTATAAGGTTTAATATCTTCTTCATAAACAGCAATCGATGCATCGTTCATTTCATTCACATCCAAATATTCAATTAAGCCATCATCAATGAAATCTTCGAATATCCGATGGTGTCGTTTTAACTGCTGCAAAAAAACTGGATCGTTTCATAAAATTACATATACAATTACAATTATGAAAATAGTACTTGTACTTTATAGCAAAATAATAAAATATAATTCCTCGAGCAAAAAATTCACGTATAAACTCAAATAAATATTAAATACATTAATGTGCTCCTGAGTAACATGAGGCTGACTATGGGTGACAATGATATAAGGGCGACAAAGGCGACCACCATCACTTGCAATATGAACTGAGCGTAGCAGAGAATTTGTCGAAACGGAAACGAATTCATTTAATATGCCTCTTCGACGAACACTACGAATAGTGTCAACGATATGTTGTGGCTTCTTTGTCATTCCCACAATAACGCCATTCAAAAAAACAGTATAATTCTCTCTAAAATAGAAAAAAACTGTCCAATTTTCAAAGTTGAAAAGAAATTTATCTATGATTCAACCACATGTGAATTTACAAATAAACCTTTTATGTATTTCACCGAAAGGCAATAATTGAATATTTTCAACTCCAGCACTGAATAATAAGCGCAAAACTGGCTATAAAATATATATATAAAACTCAAAAAGTTAAAATTTAATGAAATACATACATTGTCAAAGGGTAGAATATTAATTTAAAATAAAAAAATTACTTTTTCATCACTGTCGGTAGTAATATGACTTATAAGAGCTAAATTTTTGACTAGACCACACGATTCTCCTTCTGGTGTGTCTGAAGGACAAAGCATTCCCCACTGGGATGGTTGAAGCGAACGTGGACCCGATACCTTGAATTTATTAAATAAATATAAGAAAGAAAATGCTGAAATTCTAGTATAAAATACAAACAATTTTTCAGCCTACCTTTCGAGTCTTTTCGAAAGTGGAATTGATACGAGTCATCATACCAAGTACTGATATATAAGATAAACGCGACAAAATCTTAAATAATTAAAATCAAAATCAAAAGATAAAATAAATAAAAATTTCTTTTTTGTGCAAAGCTTCATTAATTAGCATTTCATTTATCATTCATCAAAAAGCAAAGTAGTGATCAAAAAATAAAAATACCTGAGTCACACCATGCCGTTCCATTTTAAAACGTTTTATTATCCAATTTCCAGTAGCAAGAGCATCAACAAGTGCATTGGTGATCAAGTCCTACAAGATATAAAGTTTTTATCAAAAGAATGATAAACAATGATCGATAGACAAAATAATAGCCCTAGATAAAACGAAAGGATAAACTTGTCGCATATTTTTAACGATATCCATTGGCGCAGCTCTAGTCTTTCCCAGATTACTATCAGCTATTCTTTTGAGTTCAGTGTTGAATCTTCAAATACGAATAAATCAACGTGATAATATTAACATAAACATGAAAAGAATTATTTGAGAAAAGATAAAAATAAAACCTTTTGAAAACATCTTCAAAAAGTAGTGCCATTAGAGAACCAGCAAGCTCAAGACGTTTATTACCATAGAAATCACGATCATCACATTCAATATGTCCCATCTCTGCTTGAATTAATCTGAAATGAAATTACGGAACTTTCTTTGCAGTTTAAATATTAATCTGAAATGAAATTACGGAACTTTCTTTGCAGTTTAAATCAAAGAACGAATAAAAAAATGTATAATTCGTAGTAATGAAAAATAATACATGTCAGCTGACCCAGAAAAAAAGCATTTGAACTAGGAAGAAAAAGCATGAGAAGATAAAAAAAATCCGGAGTAATAGACATGAAAATTTTATTCAGAAAAACAACCTTCTGACCATTAATCCAAGATAAATCGCTTTCATTTTCATATCACCAGCCTTACTGGGAACATGACAGATCATTAGATTCGAAAGGAAATCGATAGTTTCGAGATCCTGAATGGGAAGTCCAGCACTAGATCCAAATTTTCGAACTTTTATCTTAAATATCAATAAATAAATTTATTTAAAGAAAAAGTGAAAAAAAAGATGGCTAAATTTAGGTTATTTTCAAATCTGATGGATAACATACCCTTGATGTAATATATTTAAGAGCGGTTTCTTGGTTGCATACTTGACAATTGACATATTCTTCAAGTGATGGAGCGAAAGCAGAAATAATTTCTTCTTCGATCCCAACTGCAGAAACAATATCTTTGTCCGATTCAAAACCCATTGCCTTAAAAATAAAAAATAATGCCAAAAAAAAGAAATGAAAAAAAATCGTTGGTTGTGATGAAGAAAATCCTGTATCCAAAAAAATTTCTGTAGTACCTTGAATATGATAGCAACAGGAATGTCTTCTGTGAGATGATTATGCCGCAAATAATATCGTTGTTTCTTGGAAATAACATATGTTTTACTTTTCCGATCTGCTGTTGAACTGAGCACCTAAATTAAAAAAAAGAATATTGTTTCAATCAAAATTTTTAAAATATTTTGAATTAGAAAAATATTTACGGAAAAATTTTCCTTTCGATTTATAGGTGATCTAATATCATCTAATAAACACTGACAAAAATAAAAAATCAGATTTTTACTTGAAAATCAGCCCAAAAAAATAATCACCTCGCACTGCAATTCTTTTTTACTATTCCTATTAATCATTATACGATTTTTTGAAAGTTGTTCTTGAATCAATACTACCTTTTCCGAACCTCGAATAATAAAATAACCACCTGGGTCATGCGGACATTCCTGCACTTTGGCAAGCTGTGCTTCTGTCTAAAATTTTAATGAATTACCAATATAAAAAAAAATTTACCAATATACCAATATGACAAAAAATTTTTTTAAATCAAAAAATGAATGGTAAAAAGAATACAATAAAATTGTATTATTAAAATAAATGACAAATCGAAATAAAACTAATTAACTTTATTTCTAAGAATGCAACGACTTGAACGAAGCATAATTGGCATCTTTCCGATGACTAAACCCGTTCGCAAAACACGTTGATTACCACGAGAATATTCAACATCAACCATGATCGGAGCTGAATAAGTCATGTTACGAAGGCGACATTCGTGTGGGGTGATTTTACTATTGATGTCATTGAAACCTTCTTCGCTTGATGGCATTCCCACCCGAATATCAACATATCTATAAATAGTTAGCTAAATAAATTCACACAGATCATAAAAAATAAAATATTACGAAAAAAACTCTCTTAAAAATTTCAAAAAGAAAGCACTTATTTCATAAATAAATTAAACTTCAGAAAAGACCTAACTGATCAGTCAATATATCAAACGAATCTCTTTACGTCTAAGGACATCTGTTCTACTGCTTTTTGTTTTTCTTGGTCTAAGAAGAATGGTCCTTTGCTTTAGTCCTCTGAAGTGGGATAGGATGGCTCAGTGAGGAACACCGATGCTGAGGTTTCATTCTCCGCAGGGACAAACGTGTCCAAATATCTGCTGATGACTCATCTGTATTTCTATCGCCAAGGCACTCCCTGGCATATTTGTCTAGTAGGTCAATAAGCCAGCGAAACGAGTCTAATCAGTAGTGGGAGTTCTTTAAAAAAGTCTGATTTGTCTTTCTCTTTTTAAGGATATCGAAATGTATTGAATAAAAATTTAAAATTTTTCAAGATTTTCCATTAACCTACTTGAGATAAAACGATGGATTCGAATCGCACAAAACACGTTGATTTGCTCGCATAATCTTCTTAATATCTTCATTAACGAAATAGTCAAAACTGGCGATGTGTTGTTTAACAAGACCGCGTACCTATAATGAATAACACTGCCTTCGTCTTTGCATAAATTTCAATAAAAATATTCAAGGATAATTCAAAATCTTCAAACAGCTTTACATCAATGGCCGTGCAATTCTTTTCTCATAGATCGCCTCGATTGCCACCAAAATCTGTGGAACCCAAATGCAGTATTTTTTCAGATTTTAAAATATTTATTGAAATTTTCAAAGAATTTTGAGCGAATATATAACATTAAACATTAAAAACCATTTGCTGCCATTCAAACACAAAATTCGACTCCCAACTATCCTCTGAGAATTCCCATGCATCCTATGGGATTAGCAGAGGTGAGATTGACGACTAATGGCATAATATATGACGAAGAAATATGAAATTTTGTACTTGTAAAAATGCAGGCACCAATCGCCACTTGTCTTGCAAAGATTTAATGCTTTTCGACAAATCCTCATTGTTACCATTCATCTGCAAATATAATAACCTATTCATTATTATATTTCTTACTTCATTCGTTAGTTGAGGAAAATTAACGAAAATTCCTCTCTGGCCTAAGTCTAAGCCTCGAACCTCAATCTATGTTCCGCAGCAGTTTTACAACAGTAATAGACTGAGGAGCATAGCAGTAACAGTAGAAACATTATCTAAGAAGTCTGAAAGGTCGGAAAGGTCACAAAGAAAGGCCTTTATTTTAAATCCATTACATTCAAGAGAAAAGAGAGAATTTTAAAAAAAGCATATACCGAGTTTTAGTAATGTGAAACACTCAGATAAACACCACCACAGCTTAGTATTGTCCTGGAATACTAATTGACTCATTTGAATTCTTCCTAGTTCCACAGTTCCTCGTAATGAATCCTACACAAACATATAGGAGATAGAAAAGAGAAGTCCCACAGCACATATGTGAGTCTTAGACCGCAAGTGCAGCAGGTAAAATACTACGGGTAAGCCGCTCTTTAGTACAGTAAACGTAGGCAAAGCAACAGATGAGTGGTAAGAATATAGAGTGGTTGGAGTTAGGCTTGGTTGTGGAGTGGTCTTTGACTAGGGGTTATAATTAGAATAGTTCGCAATAGGCCCCAACGCATCCGCTTAGAGCTCCTGCGGACCTTATGACAGCTTTTTCTTGTTCATTGGCTAGTTTGCTAGTTTATTCCATTTAAAAATTTTTCACATTCGTTTTTCCATTCCATGTTTTATCTTTATCTTTATTTTATCTTTATCTTTTTTTTATCTTTTATCACTTGTCTTCACTACTTTTTCCTATTTTCTATTCTTCAAATTTCAAATAAAAATATAAATAAAATAAAATTTCAACTTAAATATTCAAATTTCTTCATCGCTTAATTTCATAGAATCTTTTTTCCTTAATAAAAATAAATCTTTCATCATATGTGAAATTTTCATGGGGACCAACTTATACCCAAAGCATCTGTGGCTGAAGTATCGGACGATGTCTGTGCATTAGAGCGCAATTAAACGGGTACCCATACCTCGATAAGCGCACGAACCGAGTGTGGCAGAGGCAGCAGTGATCGTAATGGTACTTTCGTATCATGGAAATTTCTACGTCAGTTAAGGAAATTTGACGAATGTTAATCGGTTCATTAGGTGATTTTGATCTCCATGAAAAATGTCGGAACGCTTGTTTATTTTGGGAAGTACAAATTTTTACGCTTTTAAATATCAGTTTAGCTTGTTGAAATCCCTGGCCTTGAATAAATTATCCGCTTCAAAACAAAAATATTCATTATTATTGTGGGGTTTCGGATGATTCAGATCGAAGAAGAGCTACGACTTGTCATTTCCGAACGAACTCAATCCGCTGATTGTACAGAGGACGAACAGTCTAAGGCGAACGAAGAAATTCGAAATTAAAATTCCGCATGTGCCGGAATTCCGCATTTGCGTATGTGACGGTGGTCTTTTGCGGTGTGGGTTCTAAGTATATACGCTCATACTTTGTGGGCAGATGTTACATTACAGAAAAATTTTATGTAGTGCCTACTAATAACCTTTCACAATTACAGACATAGCTGGACCAAACTGAGATGTGCGTGTGTCCTGCGGTGCTTTTTGGTCAATGAACGTGACATCGTTTGCCACTAATATGTTTCTAGCATTAGTGAAGGCATCTAGTTACAATTATGAAATAATCATTACTAAATCCATTCCGGTCGCTCTCGCACTCGACCTGCTGATCGCTGATGATATTGGTAACATCTATTCCAATTTACCAGTAAAAATACCAGAAACCAAAAAACTAAAAATTTCATTGCACCAATAAAATATAGCGCCAGATTAAGAATTATAATAAATATATGATTTTGGATTATTACGATAGGTATGAATATCTTTTATTGACACTCCATTTCACTAAACATAATTATCACTCGTATCATCTCCAAATCATATCCTGAGCTACCATAAACGTTTGAATATTGCTGCAGAAAAAAGAAAAGCCTAAAATGGATTCGAGTTACTGGTTATCTCCACGGTCTTTTCTAAATCATTATATATTTATAACTACTTCTATCGTTGGAAGAACATTATAATAAAATCCCCTTCGTAAAACGAAGAAAACTGCTCGTTGATGAGTCGGCACCACAGAAAAACAACTAGGAAAATTATCGCAATTATCGAAAACAATGCCTTTCTAGGCGTTGAACTAACAAATAAATCTATTAATAATTTTTTAATTAGCAAAATCAAATATTAGCCCAATGGAAGCAAAACGGAGATAGCAAAGTAATACTGTTATATATGTATGCAATTAGTTAGTTGGTAATTTTGAACAAATAATAATTAATGTAAAATTTCATCAAAGCAAAAGAAGCAGCACCAGAAACTCCTGCACTAATGAAAAAAAACAAAAAAACCAAATTGGAAATTATCATTTAAGAAGAATTGATACGTGAAGATTAAACTAATAACTCTTAGCTATATATAAACCAGGGTCACTAAAATAAATAGGCAACAACACAAATAAGGCTTAACAAATCCAGATCCAGAAAAGAACCGGTAAAAAAACAAACAGATAACAAAAAAGAATGAGTTAGTCGATTTTATTATTCTTTTTTTTCATTTAAAATATTACAAAATGTTAATTAAAGAAAAGAAAAAAAAACACTGATGATAAATGAACAATGAATAAGTGCGGTAATTTTTATGAAAAAACAGCAATGCCCGCTAAAATTTAAAATATACAAAAAAATACGAGGAACATTTATTTATTCATTGTTTAATTTAACTTGGCTTGGCTGAAATTAAAAACATTAACCAGCAATGAGAAATTATCAGCTTATCATGAAAATAAATGAACTTTTATAAAAATTCCGAAACAATCAAACTGTGCGAGATCTAAATGGGAAATGATTCTGAAAAAAGCCTTTCCTCAACTAAATCTGACAATATCTTATAAAAATAAGTACAGAATAAAGAAGTATAAAATAACAGAAGACACTTATTAACAATGAGTTCCTAAATTTGTGTAGAAACGAGGAAAAAATTCAACTTTGCTTATCCTCCACTGGAGTGGCTATATTGCTCTCGATTCCAATTTCACCTAAAAAGAAACCACTGATTTTGAAAATGATGAAATAAAATGTTAAATTTAAGCATATAAACAGCTATTTTTTGAGGTCATCTTAAAAGTTCTTGCGATTTGGATTTGAAGTTGTAAATTTTTATTACCGAACCACATTGACTAATGTGCTTTTCTTGAAGTGCATAGGACCAATAGGTGTTTTTTACATTTTTTAGTTCCTTAGATTCGAATATTAAACAAAACGTCTTGATTTTCAACTTTTGGTACTTCTAATTTAAACTAAGGAATCCAGAATGCATGCAGCTCATAATATGCAAGCAGATTTTTGGAGGTGATGCGCCAAAAGAAAGAAAAATGTAAAAGTGGTTTGTAAATTCAATTCAAACCCGAAGAAATGGATCTCAAAGATATCCCACAATATGAGTTCTAAATATGGATCCCTGAACGAATTAGAGTTGATCTCCGAAAGGGTAGGTTTAGCTTGGAATTTCACATATTTTTTGTGGAATAACTTGGGTGCAAAGGGAAAGAAAATAGTTGACAAATAAGAACCCCATAATCGAACATTAAATGAGAACACATTTGAAGGCCTTGTTGTTCGCTGCTAATACGACACAAAAACTCTTCTGGAAATTTTAATTTACAATGAAAGATAGATTCCCACAGGAAAAGATCTGGCGAACTGAATAAGGATGAATTTCCTTGATACATATTAACACTTGATTTTCACTTTGAAGAACCTTCATTTTCCCATTATTCTGCAAAATAATCACAAATTCGCAAGAACCACTGTAAAAAATTTGCCGCATTGAACAAACACTATATTCTTCCCTCATTCATCACACTCCATACCTTTCGTCAAGGGACTATCACTCTTTCCGGTCTCTAGATGATTTCCTTGGATAGAAATATGGAAAAATAGAGAAGAGAAGAATTTCAAAACTACAAACCTTCCAATACCTTCCAAACGGTTCATTAATTCCAGGAACTCTTACCTTTATAGGAAAGTAAAATAAGTGCATTTGAACCAAAAATATTTGAGTTAATGGCGTTTACTTTGGATAAAAATATCGATTTCCAATAAAGTTATGATCTTACAAAGCAATGGATACAAAATGGCGAGAATTTTTAGGATGATTTAATAATAATAAAGATATAAATTGCAATAAAAACTTGTTCCCTAGAAACGAATTCTTTCAAGGACGAACTTTTTATTTCAAAAAAAGCTGAAACTTTTTAAAAAAAGTCCCTTAGGACCTATATTCTTACCGCTATCTTCGGCAGCCGGTGGTTCGATAATCAGGAACCGAAGAATGTCTGATAATGAAATAATACCAATAGCCCTCTGTTCAGAATCAACAACAATGAGTCGATGAATTTCAGTTTTCACAAGAATCTCAATTACAACCATTAATGAATCCGTTTCTAAACAACTTCTCACACCTTCGAACCACTGAAAAAAGCACTTTTAAATTTCCCACATTATTGTGAATTTACTAATCAATTCGTTATTCCACTTTTAATATTTCAATAACAATGAAACATAGCAAAAGATTGTTAACACTTTCATAAAAAACTTGGAATTTCCATATCACTTAAATTTAAAATTTGTGGTAAATCTCCATGAGATTTATACACAGTATGAATTCAAGAATAAAAGTAAACGAGACCTCAGATCGATGCTGCAGTGCCTCATAAACGGTGATATCCAAGTCATTATAAGCCTTTTCCGCTGCCAAATTAATAACATCAAATTTGGCATAGATATCAATTACCTTAAAAAAAGGTATAAAATTCAAGAAAATGGGAAATCAAATTAAATTTTAGTGCCTAAACTATTTTTTAAAAAATTTAAGAAATTCTCTACAGAAAGCAAGAAAAATCAAGACAAAAAAAATCTATGAACTGAAAAATGAAAATTTTCATTTCATTTTTCCATTTTTTTAAAATCCTTTAAAAAATTTTTAATATCTTAAAATTTAGAAAATAATGGATAGTTTTCTTGTGCAAAATTTAGGTGAGTTAATCATCCGACCTTACAAAAAATGAAAAAAGAAACAAAAAACGAATACCATTTTTCAAAGCAAACCTTTCCATTTTTATCAATTAATGGCAGTGCAGATACCCGCCTTTCAAGAAAAAGTCGTAATGCATCGATAACAGAGGTGCTCTTCGTAATCGTGAATATATTTCCCCATGTGCCGATTCCCAAATCTTTTGGAGTTTTGTCCATATAAGATGGTCGAGGTAAATCAACTAACTAAAAATAAAAATAAAGAAATCTGCTTCAAATCTATTTAACGCTTGATATAAAACAATAAAAAAATGATAATCACAATAAAAGAGGTTAACAGTAAAAGTGGAATTGTTAACTATAATAAGAAAACTAACATATATGTAAAGAAATTTTATAATTCTTTTGTGTGTCAAAATGTACCAAATATTATTACTCGCTCCGCTTTCCATAATTGGCAGCCGATGAATTTTCAAATCACACAGCAATTGTACGGCTCGATAAAGACTGAAGATGGTATAAATGAATGGCAATATAAGACGATAAAAAAAAAGTGTTTTTAGAATGATTTCCACAAAATTTACCAAAGAAAATGACAACTGAGAAAACTGTCGTAATCTATCGAAAAAATTTTAAAATTTATATCCATATCCGTCAATTACTAATGTGGAATAAAAATTGTAAACTTAGAAAAAAACCTTTCTGACGGCTCGACGGTAACCATAGATTGTAAATTTCCATTCGCTTCAAATATTTCTCGCCATTTTTCGATTTTCTGTTCTTCCAATTCTTTGATTCCATCACTTTTACAATCACTATTATAATACCTAAAAAAGCAAAAACGATCTGGTTGTTTGATAATATTGTAAAATTTATTATGGAAATTATTAATAAAAAAAAGAACGAAAAATTAGATCTCTCATTATCCAAAAAGTTATCATTCGATAAAGCTATAACAAAATAAACTAACTTATATAATATTTGAATAAAATCAGTAACAGTAAGCATCCCGACAAATTCTTGTTTTTTACTGTTCCACAGCGGTGCAGCCCGAACTCCGTTATAAATAAGTGCAAAAAATGCCTTCTTTATCTATAATGTACATATTTTTTAAGAATATTTTTAATTTTTATAAAAAAATTATGGATAACTTTCTGATCAATTAAAAAATTACGATGTATACGGCCTAAAAAAGTATGGAATTATTTCAATCACCGATTGTGAACTAAAGCTAAAGAAAGTTTTTATTATCAATTGAAGATCACTAAAATCCACTTTATTCGTAATTTACTAATGTTCATAATGGAAATGACTAATTTTAATCTATTTCATCAAATTTGCATAAGGGTCGGATTCCACACAATGCCACAATTGATAAAAACATACAGGTAGTTCGGTGTCGAAAACAACCAGTTTTGAACTTGTTGGTATCAAATCGTAGCATTTATGAGCTTTCATAAACAATGCATAAACAGCATTTTGACTCTCTAAAAGAAATTTTTAAATAATAAAAAATCTCAAATAAAACCAATAAAAAAATATAAAAAAAAAATCGTTCTTACCAAAAATTTTTTTCCATAATCAAACGCGCAATTGATGGAGAAAAATTTCTACGAATAAATGACAGTGTTGCAGAATTTTTCGTATAAAAATTTTTTCAGAATTCAGCAAAAAAAAATGAAATTCTCGGGTCAAGAAAAGAAAAGCGCTTTAATATTTATTAGACCCATACTGTCCGCCTCCCACAATTAAGGATTTTATGTGAATAATTGTCGCGAACCGTAAACAATTTTGAAGATCTCCGACTGAAAATTGGTTCCGCATGGTGGAAATACAGGTGATGCATCAAATGACGAATTGAATGTGGCATTCTAAAAATAAAACCAAAATTAGAAAAAAAACTCAAAAAAATATTTACTTCCTTCCAATGTCGCTTTCCAGTCTTCAAAATCGTACACTGTCGGATGTTCGTGTTTGCTAGCAACAAAAACTGTCGGTGATATTGGTGAAATATGAAAAATTGGAGCCGAACTTTTTCGAAATCCAGTGAATATATTCGGTGAAATACTCCTATAATGTCGATCTTGTCCATGATATGTTGCTGGACATATTCCCGTATTCAAATATGAATAATTTGAATGTTCGACATTCACCGATAATGGCCGAGTTGATGTATTATCATAACCACTTTGTAAGCGTGAACGAGCTTTTAGCTGCCCAGATTTCGGCTGAGTTGCATCTTGTAAAACTGTTTCAGCTCCACATATCTCGCCAAAAGTTTTCCTAATAAGTTTTCCTTCTCGACGAACAAAGGAAAGTAACGTCTTATCTTTATGTTTCGTCGTTGTTGGCTTACTATCATCATCCGTTTGATTTTTATGTTGAGCTTTAGATTCATGTGCAGTGTGTCGCTTATGTAGTGCTTTTCTGAGAGAGCCTTTCGCCGCAAACATCCAACGATTAGGGTGGCGTATTGCTACTATTTGCTCGCACACCGATGAATATCACAACGAATCTTCCTTATTATTCTAATATATGTATATCGAATCTTTATCACTCGTGTCGTAATAAAGAAATGGTATAATAAATAGAAGTGATACGCTGTTGATAAAATATTGATATTAGAATATAAAACTGAAAAAAATTTAGCTAAGAAAAACAACTTTTCATTTCATTTCATTAAAAAAAGAACACCGAAAAATTCGCAAAATAAAATTTAATTTTGCTAAGAAAGAATAAAATAAAGAAAAATTTTTCGTTACTTATCGAAAATTCTAAAACTTTAAAAATTCCTATTTTGAATTAAAATTAAAAAAGACCAAAAAGATAAATTATTTTTAAAATCTCATCGTTATCATTCATCGTTTAACAAAATATATTTATCAACTAAAAACTAATAATTTCGAAAAAATTAGTTCCATTTTACAAAAAAAAAATAAAATAAAAAATACGATTTAAATAAGACGACCATTAATTAACAGTTAATTGTTCTGGACGTTCATCGCGAACTTTTCTAACTTTTACACCTCTCGAAACCACATATATATTTGTCTAAATCTCCAAAAAAAGTCGAAAAAAACAAAACTAGTCGACCTTCACCTATTTTCAAATAATAGTTGAACTGGTAAAAATTCTACCTAAAAAAGCGAATCGCAATGTAAATGCCAAAATAATAAATTAAAATAATGAAGTTTGCAAAAAATTCAATCAATTAACAAAAGGGCAATTTTTTCGGTCTGCAGTCACTATATGAATTTTAAAAAATTAAAGAAATACCGAAAAATGAAAGGAGTTTAGTTAGTTGTTCATTTTCATTCATAACCGTAATTTTGGTCCTATAATGAAATTTTTTTTTTTGAGAGCCTTTTCTAAGAGTCATTACTGATTAGAGTCGCTCCGCTGGTTTGTGGCACTAGACAGATATGCCAAGGATTCGTCAGCAACAGAAGAACACATGAGTCGCCAGTATCACCGAATTTTTGAAGGACAGGCTTACTCACGCGAGAAATAGAACCTCAGCAGCATCGGCGCTCCGAACCAAGCAGTAATTCTCTGAGCGATTTTACTCCCTTATTCTGAACTTAATGAAGAAAGAAAGCATGAAGAAAACTAATGAAAAATAATTTTTTTACAAAAAATCCTATTGCCATTTTATCCAAGAACAATCAATTCTATCATTAAGAGGAAAAAAATTTATAGCCGATTTAAACTTATTTTTATCAAAAGGAAAGCAACCATCCTCACATATTTCCTTCCTCTCTATAAAATCTCTCAGTAATAAATTAATAATAATAAAGAATAATGATGATATGATAAGATAGTGCAAAAAAAAGGAATAAAATTCAACAGATATGAAATAATGAAATGGAATTCGCCCTTGCATGACATGAATTTCAATGCAAAAAAAGAGAGCGATTATCGAAGATGTTTTTTCGAACAAAATTCATGAATAAGGAATTGAAAAAAAAAACCTAAATATATGCGATGCTATAGAAATTTTAGTTCAAACATATTATTTAGATATTAAATTTAGTTGCTTTCACTTTCTGTTTTCGTAGTGACGAAAAATAAAAAACATTCAAAAAGTGACTAAAAAACTAGAAAACTGTTATAGGAAAAAAAGTCAGCTCTTAGCGCCGAAATATCGAATAAACGTCAAAAGTAAGCCGTGTGACGTGAATAAAACGGTGACAAGTCGATGAATTCAAATAACCACTAAAACTAATATTAATACGAAAAATGAAGCAGAATACAAGAAACGGCCTATTCATATTGGCCGCATTCAACAGTCTATACAGCCTAATCATAGCGTGACTTGCTCAGCTTCAATTAATCCAACTACAGCACTAACTTTTCGAATAATTATGCTAATTTTTTACTAAATCGCAGCTAAAGAAAAAAAGATTCAATGAAATTCAATAAAAAAAAGGTTAAAATCAAAATTACGCACGAGCAAAAAACATCTCTAAAATAATCCATTAAAAAAAGAATACAAATATAATATTAAAAATTAATCGTTAAGGGCTGAATTGATTTGATGAGCTGAAATATTATATAAAAATGATTCATAATTGCTTAATGATCCATTAAATGAACATACATATAGCATATTAAGCATTATTCTTTTTCGTATTATAAAGTCCACGCTAACCAATATTAACCAATTTAAAAATCCTTTTTTAGATCATCTGAGGTCAGTAAAAAACGAAATGAGATAGGTGAATATGGTCAGATCGTTAAATTTCCTGTGGAACTTTATAAGAATGGCCTCAATTAATGATATTTAATTAAAAAATAAAAAAAGTACTTTCAAATTTTATGAAATTTTCCTGGGGAAAAAAACATCGCCTTTCTCCTTCTCACTATCTCCTTTGCAAAACGCCTTTGTCTCTTATATAAAACTAATAAAATACATCTTCTCACTGATGAAAAACGCTTATTTATTACCCATTCTCTAAAGACAATGATATCATTCATTACCCAATATAAATCTAACAAATTATTTAAAATATTATCCACTATAATCCAGTGGTAATGCAGAAAGCAAGCCACAAATAAAGAAAAAAGAATTTAATGATAAGGGCACAAATAGAAATATAAACATTTGTGATAAGATATCAGACTTTTTTCCTTAAATGTTGATTTTATCACGAAAAAAAGAATTTGAAAAAAATTTAAAATCTTAAAAAACTTTTCAAAACCTGAATGGATGGGAGGAAAGGAGGGAGGAAGGGAAGAAAAGATGAAAGCAACTATAATCTAAAAATATCCTTTCCTTTTCCATAATATTGGAATCCCACATCCAGTGAGCTGAAATTTCCTTTAATTCCCTTTATATCTTATAAATAAACGAACAAGAAAATCAAATAAAATTGTTCACAGTGAAACCAGAAGAAAATATAATAAAAATAAACAAACATACACATACATAACACACATACCACATGCACATACACATACACATACAAATGAAAGATCGATATGCCGAGGAAAGACATTCTCAGATGGCTATGATGGAATGGCTATAACTAAATTATGCCACTGGAAAAAACGAAATGATTTGGTGAACTGATAATCAGCAAAAAAAATTAGCCTCATTCACTCTTAATAATTAATATTAAATAAATTCAATTCACTTTAAGCCGAATTATCAGAAAAAGTACCACTCCGCTAAATAAATTATTAAGAGGTTCACTGATAGATTAAGCCAAACTGTCAGAAAAAGGCTTCTTCAAGTACCACTCCACTAAATAAATTATTCACTGACATCCACAACAATATGGATGGCTCAGCCACCCGCATTACCCCATCGGATTTTCGAATGACGAATTTACTCGTGGCTGGCTATACATAGAGTTTTACCATCGGAACGAATAAATAAACCCATTCATGCATTTTACTTCACTTATTTTTAATAATTCTCCATTTTACCTTTTCCTACTTTTTATGGAACATTAATTAGCCAATTATATAAGCAAATAAATGTTTCCCAGTGGTTTCGACATAAAACAAATTGGCCTTAGAGAAAAAACGATCAGAAATGCCACTTAAGGCATAGAGGAACTCAGCATAGCCTAACTATTTTATAAAACTGCATAGTGCGCGGAAACCGCTGGAAAGGAGGCATGCGCAATGCTTGGAATAACAAATGGAAAACGAAGAAACCAATGAAGAGACCCACGACAACGCCAGTCAGACGAAATCGGAAACGACAACTGCATCATTACAACACAGAAGAACTCTTAACGCAAACCATAAAAAGAAGAGCTCTAAAAAAAGATATAGCAAATACCAATACCATAAATCGTCCGAAACCAATCGACGACTTATCGATAAGAATTTGAAATCTTATAAACTGGCATTAATAAATAACTGAATATTTTCAGAAGAGTTCCACAGGTCACGAAAAGTTTCTACAAAATGAAAAAGAAGACGAGAGTGGAGTGGAAAGGCGAGAATCATAAAAGAAAAATATGAAAAAGTTGCTGAAGATGATAACTGTTGTTATTCTCGTGTGGATCAATCGATATAATAATAAATCCAGATGTGCATAACAATAATAATAAGCAAGAAATATTATACACATCGATTTAAGTAAAACAACAGCGTATGCGTTTTTCGAAACGAAGGTCAAAAGGTCAATCGATAATAATCCGCAACCTATGATAAGCAAGTAAAATAACCAAATTTATAGCTGATAAGACGCAAACCCCACAATCGCATAAAATAAATAGAATATGCCAAAGATTAAATCAAACAAGAAGATCATTTGAAAGTCCTTAAATCCCACGACATCAAAATGACCTTGGAATTCGACTGGCTGACCTTTAGAATTTACCTCATTAATAAATCAATAACTTACCTCGACTCATTCTAGTAAATGTAATTTTTTCCTTACTTTTAATAAATGATTCTTTAAAAAAAATTGATTCTTTGATTTTTTATAAATTTAAACCAAAAACAATCAGAAACAGTCTTTTATACAATAATTATATAATTATACAATACAATAATTATAGAATAATTCATTATTCATTTATTTTTATATTTTTATATTTTTATTAAAAATTTTAAAAATATATTTTATTAATATTAAGGAAAGAACTAAAATATTAATGACGAAATTAACTAAAGAGTTACATGAAAAACGATTATTATTTATTGCTGTATTAAATCAATACGAGAAGATTAATGATTCGAATAATTCCAATAATCCTAAAACTAGCTCAGTGTTGCTCTCAGTGTTGTTGCTCTCATTTCGAAGTTCCAATGCTGAAGTTTCGTGAAAGGAGAAAATCAACGAATCGAAAATCTGGATGAAACTGAACCACTCACCTATACTTCTCATCGGTCAAGTCAATTCACTTCTTGGCAAAATTCTTCTATTCAGATAAGCTAGCGAAACGAAGCATTGTGCATCATCGGAGCAATTTTATAAAATAATTGGAGAATTTTTAATATACAAATTGTGATATATGATGAAGAACCAAAGATCTTTTTGCTAACTACAACCAAAAATTTATCTAATAATTAATTATAAACAACACAACTGAATAACTAATGTAATGCGAAGGAGATATGTACATATAAGCAATTACTAGCCAATCAAGCAGATAATGTGATAATAAAACAAGAACCAGAAATCAGCATTGGTGACAGAGAAAGCAAAAGAAACGAAACAAAAATTGGGAAAAAAGAATATGCGAAGCAAGAATTACTAGGGGCTGGAAGGGGAACTAAAGAAGATGTGGAAAATGAAAGCAGTCCCAATAGCAATACCAGCACTTGGCACGGATTGTAATTCCCAAAACAAAAAAGTGGCTTTAACAGATTCCAGGAACGATATCAGCGATTGTACAGAAAAAGCGCAGTGTGTTAGAAATAGCTAAAACGTAGACCGCGCAGAAATCTCAATTTCTCGGGCCTCTGGCACAGAAACCGAAGTGACGATGACCTATGCCATCGATAGAGATTTACGTATTGAGCATTCTCTTTCCATGTTTTTTAAAAATTTTAATAAATGGATTTTTGTTTCATTTCTCGTCTAAGCAATACCCCCAATTTTTTAATACTGAAATTCATCTTAAAAAAAAGTAATAAATTTGACGCAAAAAAAAATCCATAAAGTAGCTGGGAATTAACAATGTTAGCATTAATCGAAAAATTAACACAAACCCATCCAACCACACGACATGTGCACACACATATATCCACACATACAACACAAATGATAACTTTGATCATAAATATTTAGGAAAAAATATTTCCAGTTATGCGAAATGGAGGGGCGAATTGATGGAATTATTTCGAATTATTCATCTCATTTATTTTTTTCATTTCCCTCTTTCCCCCTCACTGAATATTTATTGCCTTCACTCGACTTATCATTAAGCAGAGAGTGTAAAAATCTACTATGAAACTCCGAATTCGGATTAGTAATTTATCTTATCAACGATCAATGAAAGATCGATAGTTTGTTGATAATACAATTTTCGTCACCCAAGAGAAGTTCTTGGCGTGAATCAATAAAAGGATTCAAATCAATAAGGGCAACGAATAACAACAAGGAAACAAAAAGTTGAAGGATAAGAGGTCCGGGACAACGGTAAAACAGTGAAAGTTGACCGATTCCAAAAATAGTCTTTTTTGCATTCGCCATTCGCCCGACATGGTTAAATTAACATTTAAAAAGAAAAAAAAATTATTTAATTACTGAAATTTAAGCAAACTATTATAATTTTAACATTCACCCTTCCATCTATTCCTTCACCCATCCATTCCTTCAACCAATCATTCATCCATCCATTCCTTCAACCAATCATCCATCCACCCCTTTATCCAATCATTCATTCATCCATTCCTTCATCCAATCATCCATTCATCTGATCCATTTATTTCTTAAACGATAATCAAATTGAAGAAAAAAACATTCTCTAATCAGAATGATAAATGCGAAAAAAACTGAAAAAAGAAGCATAAAGAGAAACGTCAAAATTGAATCTAAAAAGATCATAGAACTAAAAAAAAAATTGATCATTGATGCCTAAGGCAATCACAAATATCAAATTAACTCAAAAATATTGCAGCAGTTTTATTTGAAAATATTGATGGAAATATCTAAAAAAACTGGACAATATTAGGCACTCAAATAGTATTCACCACCGACTTTCTGTTTTTGGTTACAACTTTCTCCCATTAAGAAACTAATTTCTCATAATTTTTTTTTTTTTTTAGAAGAACTGCCTCCACGGATTCGAAATATTCTTCAAGGCCATTTTTTGTTATTCTCATTCATTACTTTCAAAAGAAATTTCTTTTTTTCAGCAATTGGTGCTACAAAGAAAACTGAATAAATGATAGAGAGAAGCAAAATAATGCGGTGGAAGAGCAAAACTTCTCAATCAGGCTTTGGAGTACACATTTTGAAATATGGGGCTTTAGCATGAAGATGGGAAGAGGGGAAGAAAAATTTTATCTCTTCTCATAGCTCTTTCAACAAAATTCATTCTTGAAGACGATTTATGTTGTTCGTGATTAACAATATGATACCTTGCACAGACCTCAATAAACTCATCGTTCCTTTTTTTCCGTCAAGACAAGAACATATCGATTCTCGCTCAAGCGTAATCTTTGGTAAGTAGAAAAAGTTGAAAAAACAACTGGACAAAAAACAAATTGAAAACGAAACATTAAGAATATCCCATAGGAATACTTTTGAAAATTTCTTGTTTTTTATTCATATCATTTACTAAAAAATACTAGGACATCTACAAGGTAAACTTGTTTCACTGGCTATTAGTGTGAGAAATCCCGACTGAAGTGGAAGCAAATCGCTATCACCATTCAGACCTTTTAATGATAAGTTATTCTTTTATGAGATAAAGTTTGAAACTCGAGATAATAATAATGTGAGGTAGTGATTATAAACCGCTTGACTATCCTGTTTTCAATTATCAACTTTATATAAAAAGGAAGAATTTATTGTTCATGGTTCACAAACTAACTTTATCCTTCTACCAAAAAAAATGCAAACCCTATTATTATTTTATTATTTATTATTTGGCTATTAAATTATTTCATCATATTATAGCGATTACATTTGCGAACGCATTTATTTTAATAAATAATTTAGCAATAAAATTGTCACGAACAGTTGAAATTCTAATAAAAAAAAAATTAATAACCAAAAAAATTGCTATAAAATAATTATTCGCAAATTCGAGAAACGATTGTCAGCAAAAATTTTCATAAAAATGAATATTTAAGAGAGGAATGATATTTTTAAAAAATTTCCTTTAAAAAAAATCACTAAAATAAACTTGAAATTAATCAAGTTGAAATTTTTCGAAAGAACCCTTCAGAGTAAAAAGCTAAAAAATAGCCAAAGTAATAGTATAATCACTGATGGCTCAGTGAAAGAGATAAAAGCCCAGCGAGCAAGAGGATCAACAAAGATTGACAGAGGGCTGGTTAACTTCAAAAGTAGCTTTTGCATTTGCCATTAAAAAAAAAGTTTGCCATTAAAAAAAGAAGTGAAAGTGAAATAATCTGACCCAAAAACTTAATAGAAATAAGCTAAAAAAACCAAAAAATCTGAAAAGAATCAATCTTCACCTTTCAAATTCTTAAAAAAGAATGAATCTTAAAGAAGAATGGATCAAACGAAACGAACCAAACGCACATTTCCTCCACCTTTTTCCAACGTTTTCATTTTTATTCTATTTAAGATCATTTTTTGATATTGAGAAGATCTCAAACACCATTGTAATTCATATGATGATTTTTTTGTTGCTTTGATGGAAAAAATTTGTGTATACAAAAAAAATGTAGTCGAATCCACACAAAAACATTCATTGTTATCGAGAATGAATAAACGAAGCAATGAACCGATGAAAATGCTCGATTTTTGAATTCGACAAAAATTCAACAATAAATGAATAACGGATTTCTGCAGCCTTTTTTTGAATCTCTTTCAAACAGCTTCATACTAAATAAAAGTAAACAATCCAGAATGGTTTGGAAAGACAGTAGAAACCGTTGCAGTGTTATCCACGAAAGAGTCCGATTTACCGACAATGTACGATTTTTAATTAAGTTAATATTTGAAATATGATGATTCGCTTCTTAATCAGATAAACTACTTATTAACCAGTAATGAATAGTCATTAAGGTCTATTCAAAAAATACCACCAAGAAATATGCACCAAGAAATAACCTCTTTAACGAGAAGAGCGAAATTGCTAAAAGGCGATTCTAGACCAGAATCATACGACCGTTGTAGATTATTTTGCTGTAAAATCGTTCTATGTTGCCGAAATGAATACAATTGTGTTCCATTTCGATTTCGAGCTGAAATTAAATGACCTTAGCCATAGATACCAAAGTAGAGAACGATGAAAAAAAATATTATCCACGAAATTCGCTAAAATTGTTGAAGAAATTTCATCAAACTTTGAACTACGAGGATCTTTTAATGGTATTTAAGGTGCAAAAACTGAAATCTAGATATATTCTAAGAAAAATTTTATAGATCAAACATTTCAAATATTTACTAGAATGGATTTGTGGAGATTCAACTGTTGTCGGCGAACAAAGGCATTTAATCGATTTTTGAAATGAAAAAGGACACTAAAATTTTCTTTTTTATTTAAATTTAAATTTAAATTTTAAATAAATTTTTAAATAAAATAAAAGAAAAAGTGTATAATATTTTGAACTTATACAGTAGTATTATAACAGATTTATTTTGTTTATGCAAAATTTTTTATGGTGAAACCTGTCAAAAAATATGGTGTCTCAATAATTTAAATGAAAATAGAAATTAAACAACATAAAATTAAAATTTCTGATCAATAATGTAAAATGTATTTTAAAAATTTCAAATAGCTCAAAAAAAAATTATAATTCCCAAAAGCGATAGAATACGAGATATGGCAATAAATTCCCGTAATTTATTAAGAAATATATATATATATATATAATATTAAATGGAAACATTAAATAAATCATACAACAGGAAATGAATGTGAAGCTCCAGATGGAAGTGGCAATGCTGTTTGATTTATATTGCGTCGCCGGTGAGCAATATTTTCATTTGCAAGTTTCGTATCAATATATAAATTATCATGATGCGGTGCTTTTGGAAAGGAAGTCGAAGTCCATGTTTGATCAGTTGATGGTTTTGTTTCACAAATATCGTCCAAACCACTTGAACAGATACTATGCCGCTCAGCGCGAACACGATGTACAGTTCCTTAATTAAACAACCAATTATTTTAAATAGAACACCAACAAAAACTCTGTAGCGGTACCAAATTAAAATCATTTTCACTGCTATATATTTCAAAACTAATGATAAATAAATTTAATACAAAAAATAAATAAAAAAAGAGATATTTCAAACCAAAATATATAGAAAGATATAATCGACTCACGCAGTGATGCATTCTCAGAAGTGGACCGATTAGGAAATAGTACAATTGTTCCAAATGAATGTGACGCCGCATCGGAACGTGAGCGAGAACGGAAATCTGAATTATGAGCAGAGTCCAAATAAAGTGAATTTTCACAATCTGGAGGAGGGTCATCACATGTCGGTGGATAACCAAGATCTACAAAATAAGCAAATTAAAAAGCCATACCTTTCTTGAAATTCAATCAATTCTTTGAGAAAATTTCTTGACTGAATTTAAAACTAAATTTAATATGTTGAAATATGTTGAAAAAAAAGAAACCTTCCTCGAGCATATCAACGTCAATCGTTGAGGAATGTGGTGAATCTCGATGCGAACGAAAATTCAGTCGTTCTCGAAATGCATCAATTAATTTATGATCATTTCTGCAATTAGAAATTCGTTAAAAAAAATGAACATTTTTAACCCTAATCATTAATGCATATCTCTCATAATATATAATTTCCTGCAATAAAAAAAAAAAAATTTTTCATTTTAAATTTAAAAAGTTCCAACAGCTCAATTTGGAGTGCCGATGCTGAGATTCGATTCCCCGCAGGAGTAAACCTGCACAAAAATCGGGGTGACGATAACGACTCGCCTATATTTCTATCGCCAATATACTCCCTGACATATTGCCAAATGCGATAAGCCAGTGGAGTAATTTTAATGCGATAAGCCAGTGGAGTCAGTGGAATGATGAGGACTCAATTTTTTTTTTAGAAAAAAATTGTTTCATTGGACAAATTAAAATCTAATCTTTTAAAAAAAAATTTCATCATTTGAGAATTCGAAATTTTAAAATTTGAAAAAATTTGAATTTGAAAAAACCTAACAAATTCTACCAAAAATTTTATGGAATGACCAATCTTATCATCCAACAAGATACATTAATTCTGATCAAGCTGGTTCCACTGACCTGCGACCCACCTTGCCAGAATGCCAGTCAGAGATGAAAATAGAACCTCCACAATTACTCTGATTTTATTCTTTTTATCTCTAATGGCAGGTTTATCCCTACAATATGTTATCATATTTAGGCATCCATTCCCCTAATTGATACCATTTCATTTCGCAGAATGTGCAATCAAAAAGAAATTAATTCATTTCATGTAATCATAATCATTAGGGATAGAATGACTAAAAATTTCATTTCTGATTCTGGGACTCTGCGACCAAGTAGGAATAAATCTTTCAAAAATCTGGATGATACCGGTTACTCATCTATACTTCTATATCCAAATGATTCCTTAGCAAAATTTACATGGTCCGACAATCTAAAAGAGCGAGCCTCTTACTAAAAAATGGTGAGCATTAATAGAAAAATATTTTATAACTATTTTTTAAATTAATTAATCACATTTTGATGAATTTATTTTATCTTTTTTAGGCGCATATGGCGCTATGAACCAAATTATGAAATATCACGCTCGATAGAAAAAATTTCGAGTGATTAGGAAAATTTAAGAATGTAAAAATCTCATCAGCAATTCCTACTGCTATAAATTAAAAATAAAAAGAAAAAACTGCGAACCTTTTTGAAGAAAGAGAAACAATTTCAGAATCGCCAGAATTTTCGCGTACATATACATTTTGTTGTGCAAGATTATAATGATGACCTGTGGTAGTTGATGAATAAGCAGACATCAATAATTCTCTGAAAACGATTTAAATGAAATAACTAAGAAAAAAAAATTAGTAAACGAATGGTGGAACCAACAAGAAGAAACGAATACTACAAAAAAATTTACCTAAATAAGAAACATATACAAATAACAAGTAGGTCAACCCAATAAATGTTTGCATTACATTTAACCCTCAAAAAATGAAATTTACTTCTGCAAAAAAATAAAATGTGCTAATTTTTAATTTATTAAAAATTAAAGCATAATAAGAATAATTTCTGCTAACTAAGTAGCACTACCGCAAATAACTATTTTTAACAAATATGAATTTTTATCGATAACTTTCATAAAACTTCAAAAAAACGAAAAATAAACGAATTTTTATCGATAATTTTCACGAAATTTCAGAAAAAAAATATAAAAGATTCATTAATATAAAATATAAAAAGAAACGCAATAATCAAAATAAAAAACTTCGATAAGCCATGAAATAAAAAAAAGATCAGCTAAAATTTTCCTTTTACATATAGGAACAGGCAACAAAATACGATTTAAAATTCGAGAAAAAATACTAGAAAAACCGATAAAATGTTTTTTTCACAGATATGACATTCTGTAGAAATATCGATTTAATGCTGATATTTGTCTAAATTCGATCATTACTTCCATTCATATCCATTTAAGCCTAGCATTTAAAAAATCCTGGGAGTGCTGGAAACTTACCTTTATTTCTACTGCCATATGATTTTATAAAAATTTCTAACCGTTCTAACAGCCACTACAGCGAACTGAGTCAAAAATGCTTACTTACTTATTCGTTCTTGAACGTTTCGAAAGCCTTTTCAAGAATTAAAATCTAAAAAATTTTGCCAGATTATCGTTTAAGCTATCGTTTAAATCCACTTTTTATCGATTGATATTTTTGCTGACTTACAGTTTACTTAAAGTAAATAAATAATATTTATTTATTTAAGCATTTCAAACAAAAATTTATGTTTTATGTTGGCAATATTCTCAGTTCACCTTTAATGTGAAAATTCATTAAACATTAAAGTTCATATGGACTATTATTTATTTACATATACTTGAACTTATTAAGAAAAGAACCACATTTCCAAAAAATTTCTCCTTCTATAGGGTACGTCGACTAACACCTTCTTGCATTTCCATTCCGTTTTTTAAAAAATTAGATTTTTAATAACTCCCATCGCACAGTGCTTTTGTATAATATCAAAAATATTAAATAAAAATATTTTCATTCTTACTAAAGAAATCATTTAAAATAAGAAATTAACAAACAAGAAACCAGGTCAATGCTAATTTTCAGAACTGTAAAGGCTCAAATGACCTGATATTCTAATTTCGAGGCCTATGCTATAGTTCCATGCCCAGTAAGAATAGCGAAACGAAATCAAGCAGGAATAAACCTGTGTTTCAAGAAAACCGGATGGTGATTCACCTCATCGCCACTTCTTATCAAAAAATCTGATTAATGCTGCTTTATAGAAACACAAAAGCTCAATGCGCTGTTACTCTGAGTTCGCAACGCCTATGCTATGGTTCTACTCCCAACGAACAGAAACGAAGAGAAGCAAGAGCAAACCTGTGTCTCAAGAAAACCACATGACTCACCTTATCAAGCCAAATCCTAGCAAAATTTTCCTGCTTCGATCAGCCAACGAAGCGAGACAAACCAAAACCTGTGCGTGCAGCAGAAATAATGATTCCTCTAAATAACGCAAGATTCATACAATAAAAACCAATCAAAAACCTCGTTCTTCATATATTCATTCGATGATATTACAAAGAAATTCGTTCATTCACTGCAATTTTATATTAATAACCGCCTATATTGCATTGCATTAAAGTGCTGCTAAACTTAGAAAAAATTAAATTAAAAATTTGTGAAAAATTAAAAATCAAAGATTCAAATTTATAAAAATTTATGAAAAATTAAAAATTATACATTAGTCACACATTTGAAAATTTAAAGCTGAAAAATCAAAGATTTCATAGATAATAAACAAAAATTGCAAAAATAATATCTATTACGTACGTTATCGAATTTCTTAAAAATAAAAATCGTTAAATTTAATTATTATTCGAATTGTTATCGAAAACTTAGTTCCATAAATGATAAAACGATAGATTAAATTAATCGCATATGAATATTTTGTTTAAATAAAAAACTAATTCATTAATCGCTTCCAATATTGTAAATTATATTTAATTTGATTAGTTGTTGTCACTGAAATTTAAAAATCTTTAAAAAGTCCATATTTATTAAATATTTTATTAAAATAAATAATGCAAAAAAAGAAAATAAACAATATTTGTTATTTAAATACTTTTTAAATTTTTCTTTTTTTATACCATTCATTTTAATAATATTTATTTATACATTTCAAAAAAAAGTTCTAATTTTTTGCGACAAAAAATTATAAAAATAATATGAAGCAAATAATATATATATATAATAAATAAATAAATTTATAAATTGATTGACTATAAAATTATAAAAGATTAACAAATAAATGAAAAGAAAAAATACTGCCGAAAGATTAAACAAATAGCAAAACGTCAAATCAATGAATATTCGAAGGTCATACTATAAGAATAAAAATCAATTCGAATAGTACAGTACATAAATCTATAAAATAGAGAAAATATTTGGAAGATTTATAAAAGAAAAAAAGGAAAAAGCAGTAAATCCGAATTTTAAAACCTTTTTTTTCTCGAAATCTATTTTATGTGATATCTAATTCGACGTAAGTAAAATTACGTGGAAAGAAAAACCTTCAAAAAATCGATCTTTAAGCAACGATGATTAACCAAAATTATATGGACCTCTATATTTCTAAAATATTTCATTCAAGCGATGCAATAAATGAAAATGAATTCATTAAACGAAAATAAGTAAAAACAAAAATCAAATAATAATCGCAAATTTAAAATATTATTCAATCTACAATGATAATTTTTATAATTAATATTGATAGAAATATACTAATAATAATATTAAATTGAAATAGTTACTGAAACTTTACTTATTATTAAATGCTTTTTTCGTCTTTTATAGTTGAAAAAGAAAAATTTGGATAAATTTTTTTTTCTTTGAAAAATATTTGTTTCTTACTAGCTTGCTTGCTATTCAAATTTCCTCAGTTATTTATTGACTTAAGGTGATATAGGTGAGCAGCTAGCAGCATTCGGATTTCCGGAAGATAGGATTTTATTCTTGCAAGAAAGCTCAATTTGAGTTCCAAAATAAGCGCAATAGCAACATAAAGAGCCATCAAAATCTATAATTAGATAAAAATTATAAAATAAACCAGAGATAAAAAGAAATGTAATGAATGAATGAAAAATGCAAAAATAAAGGCCCATTAATTAAAATTATATTTTGAAAATTATAAAATATTTCAGTTATAATTTTCATTTTCAATTTTTGATTTTTCCGAAATTTTTGTCTTAAGCGAAAGAAAGAAAAACGATGATAAAAAGACAAAATCCATTTCGCCACTAACAACAAGCCTCAGCGAATAAGCGATCAAAGATCTAAAAATTTGCCCACATTTTATTTTAAGATCATCGCCACAAATTTTATTAAAACAGCCATGAAATTTATAATCGTAAGAAAATAAGTAATTTTCATGAGAAATAGAAAATAATACTAAACGACGAAAATTGAAAGCGATTTGAAAATTCTGAGCAAATTTCCGACTTTTTTTTATGTAGAATTGTGTCTACCCACTCCTTAAGGTTCGCTGCTGCTAGAAGATTACGAACTACGATGCATGAACAAATAACCTAAGCCAGCCGCCCCCTCAAGATTCTTTTTACTCTTCCACTTCTTTTTTAAAAATTGCTAATAGACGCTTTCGGCCTTCTCATATTGTAAATTCTTGTATTATATAAATTTTTACAAAAATTAACTAAGAAATTTTAAAAATTTTGAAATTTTCCAAATTGCTAAATTAAAACAAAACCTCCGACCTCCGAAAACGACTTATAACATAGAGATTTGCCTTTGAGAATCCCAGAAATCTGTAGCGGAATCCTTCTGCCACCGTTTGAGGACCACTGGCAATACATAGTCGTAGTGCCAACTGTAAGTGAAATTTCACTACTATAAATCGGTGTGTGCCTAAGCCTAAAACAATAACAATAACTGATAACAATCAAATATTTTCTGGGAGTAATTAATAATAATAAACTGCCAATCAAATACTCTCCTAATTGACCAATTGTCTTCAGTGAATCCACACACTTCTACTACAACCCAAAGCGAATGAATAAATTTTTCTTCGGATTCAATCATTCTCAAAATCATAAAAAAAACATTTCGATTCGAACTATTTGCTTGCTATTTGTTAACTTTTAATAAGAATCGAAATAGAACGAAGCGGAATTTCGTTTTCGCTTTCTATTCCATTCCCCTAAAAGTAGCAAATCTGCCATTATAAATGAAATAAAATTTGTGATGCTTTCTATGTACTTTAGCGGAATTTCGTCCACTGATAATCGACATTTGCGCGTACGCCCAACGGAACGAAATGATATTCGCCTTCGCCATTCGTCTCTCCTCGAAAAACAAGCAAATAATAAAACTTCCAATAAATTAGAAAAATTCCAACTCGACTAATTTGATTTCACCTTAAATTTTATTTTAATTTTACATTAAATATATATTATAATTTCCTTAAAATTTTTTAAAAATTCGATAACCACAACAATTAAAATGCTTTTAAAAACCACAAAATATGTATCAAATCAAATAATATAAAATTATAAATACATAAATATATCTTTAGAAAGAATCGTTAAGATTGGGGAAATAATCAAATCCACTTGAATAATAAACAAATTGGATGAAAAACACATCCAATCTTTGCTCTTTTAAAAATTTTCCTCACCAAATATGTACGTATGTATTACGTATGTATAAATTATGGGAATATGAAGTAAATGTATTGGCCTGATCGACCTATTTGATTTGTTTCGTAAATTCACCGTAGAAAC